TTTCCTAAAAGGGAACCACACTCACGGGATGTAGTGAGTATTCAGAAAGTTAAATATTACGTGACAAGTTTAAAATGAGATAAAAAAGTAAAGTTAAAAGAATCTTGTTCATGAAGATAGCCTTTCGTTTCATATTCGCAATGCAATAGATCTTTACATTTTGCCGATTTACAAAGGTATTTTTATGTAATATAAATATTCTTAACAAGTTTGCTTTGATTTTAAAAGCTTTTTAACAAAAAATAAACGAAGTACTAAAATATTGTAATTATGTTTTATTGTCAAGAACAAACTGTGTTGAATTAAAAGATTTAAGCTAAAAAAATTATTACTGTAGCCACTTATACTACACGAACTTATAATTCAAATAGTTAACATGTATCATATTTTATGTATTATTGTATTAATTGAATTAATAAAAGATTTTAGTGTAAATTTTGTTTTTTATTGAAAATAGTATTATTATTATATATACTGTATTTTTATTGCTAATTTACTAATCATATAGATAAGATAAATTTGACAAAAAAAACAGACACAAAAAATTAATTATCTCACGAACCATTGATCAGAATTATATAATTTTGGTACTGTTCGATTCATCTCAATGAGATGAACCAAACGATACCAAAATTATATAATTCTGATCAATAGTTTGCAAGATAATTAATTTTTTGTGTCTGTTTTTTTTTGTCAAATTTGTCCTCTTTCTTAACACTAGGCCTATATTATGAATTCTTGTAAAGCATTGCTCGTGCAATAAATCATAACACAGCAAATGTGTAAATAATTAAGAATATAATTTTACTGTGGATATAGGTTGCTATATATTAAAAAAAAGAAAAAACCTTATTAGCAAATTGCAATCTATATACTACAAAATGGGTTTTTTTTAATTTACTTTATATTTTTATAAGATACTCTTCTTTCAAAGATGCATTTCACAGAAAGTTCCCCGTGCACATCTAACAAGCCATTTTTCATGTCAAGATCTTAAAAACTCCAAAAGAATCTTGAGAAAGAAGGCAAACAATTGCCTATCTTCAAAGGAGTCTTATATTATCTGGTAACATTAGTTTTTCATATTCTTTATACCATTTGCTTCATTGAAGCTCTGGCAACCTATTTGTTTTAAAAACGTTATATGTTGTGACTAAGACAAGTGGATTTCAAATCAATAGTTATTCTTAGACTTACTTACAACATATATAGTATATTACAAATTTTATTCATTTATCTATATTAAACTTTATACATTTCTTAATATTTAACCATAATGGTATTAAGATAAGCTCAGCTTATAATTGATCTATTTTAAACTAGTATAGTAAAAAATTATAATAATTTTTTTTTTTTTTTTAATATTTGGGGTGTAGCTCCTGCCCCAGACTTTTATTAATACTTAAGTAAATTGATATATGATGGTGCCGTAAATACATACATATTATATATCAGAACTAGGACTAGGACATCAAGTACTAAGACTATTTATCTATGGCTAAAACCCACCAGAACCATTAACATCCCCACACATGTGATTGACCTAAATTTTATACATCCTTCTCCAACCGCCAATCAGTATTCACATGTCTGCCACATTACCCACAAACCTTTTTATCTTCAACTTCCAAATTGGTGTATACCAGGTAGGTGCTTATTGCTTCCAGTTTGGTATGCCTGACAGAGCAATTTCTCTCTCAATCCTTACTTAGCGTACTTTCCAGGAGTTCGTATCTCAAGCCATGCAGCTACCTCTACCCAAATGGATAAGTATCTCAAGCCTGCATGCTGCTGTAACTAGCTGGATTTCCTGTGACTTTCGGGACCCAGGTCTTAACGTATCTAATTAGGTTTGCGCTAACGATTATACTTCCCAATATGGTGATGAGGCTACCCAGACATGTTTTGCAAATACTTCCAGTAGTCAGTATAGTTGGAGGGCATCATGAGGCTCAAAGGTAACAGATGCATCATCATTTCTTTTTATGGTGATTCTTGGCAGTTATAGCCTCCAGTTACCGCTACATGCACTTATACCAGCTATACCTATATTGGTGGTCCCGAGTCCTCTTAACGCCAAAGACTCCTATATGGGTACAACTAGAGCCTGTTAGGTCTATTAACACGTACATGCCTCCATGCTTCAACTTCTTATTGGCCTGAGAGTTCCATATGTGCAGAGGTGTTCCAAATCTAGTAAGGCCAATTCTTTACCACAGGTCCCTTTGTGTTCACCACATTTCTCACCACTTTCCAATTCTGGTTACCACCTAGTTATCCTCCCAAACAAGATCCCCAATGCCGCCTTAGGGGTTGTTGGTGCTACCTTGCCAATCACAGATTTACATGCACAACCTTTGTGTAATAGAACTTTCTGTAACAACTATCATTATATGTAGTGCCAACTACTTCACAATGGACCTCCTTCTGGAAATTCCTAATCCAGACTTGTATTCACTTGGACTTCCCACGGCAGATACTTCCAAATATTTGTAGGTAAATATACCTACTAGGACTTAAACCCAAAACCTGCTCATGGAGGGTTGGGTGTCAAGATCACTAGGCTGCGAGATCCCAACTCTAAAAAATTATAATAATAATAAAGACAATAAATAGATTATAAAGTAAATTAATTTTTTTCTGTTAAATATAAAATGGATTAAAAAACTTAATTAATATTATAATCATTTATCATTACTATATAATTCTCTTGCTAATATTGTTAAAATATATTGTTATACTTTACAGAAATTTCTAAAAGTTATATATGTTTTTATAATAAAGAAATAATATTTTAAAAATGGGTTTAAAAAAAATTATTTAAAAAATATTTTTATAATATTTTTTTTTTTACATTATGGGCTTATAACTAGTACTATATATTCCTAAAAATAAGCTACTCCAAAAACAAGCTACCCTCTCTTTTCTTGAAAAAGGAATATAAAAAACTTTTTTATTCTGAAAATAAGCTACTTCTGATAATTTTTTAAAATTCAGAAGTAGTTTCTATATATAAAAGTCAAAATTCTACTAAGTAAATTGATAAAATTAACTTAATAGAAGTTGTTTAGGATATAAATTAAACATATTCTGAAAGTTTCAAGCAAATTAGAGAACTTTTACTAAGATGTTTTTGCATTTTATATTTAAATGTAAAATGCAAAAATATATTAGTAAAAGTTCTCTAATTTGCTTGAAACTTTTAAAATATATGTATTTCTACATTCTAAACAACTTTTATTAAGTAACTTTTATCGATTTGCTTAGTAGAATTTTGACTTATATATATAGAATTACTTTTAGATTTTTAAAATAATAAAAATCAACTTTTTAAAATTGTACCTAAAAAAAGCTATCTCCATGATTTTTGTGTCACTTTTTTTCCCAAAAAAGGTAGCTTATTTTTAGAAATATATGGTAATTGTAATGTTATGATTATGTTGTTTGCAAATAATTTTTTCAAAAATTAGTAAAATTTTTAAAATCAATAACTAGTTATTATCATGCAAACTCTTATGATCATAGATTTTTTTCTTCTTGTTATTTTTGTATGTTATTACATAAGCACAACAATCTCAAATTAAAACTTAGTTAGCCAAAAATGACTTGAAAATCATGATCGTAATTGCACAATAACATTGATATTGGATCATGTGATGATAAATATCATAAAATTTGTTTTGTCAGAGCAAATGATTGGCTGAAATGTGCTGCTGCATGGCACATATCAGCCAACTATTTGCTTTGACAAAACAAATTTCATGATATTAATCATTGCATAACCAATATCTTATACTTAGTGTTCCAAATTGAGCCAGCTCACTCAATATTCCCATTGGCTCATTCAGGCTTATTTAGTTTTTATACTATATAAATTTCATTTATTTATATAATATTCTTGAATATATTATATATTATATATATAGCTTATAAGTTAAATAAGCCTTAAACAAGCCAATGGGTGTAGGATAAGCCTAATTGAGCCAGCTCAATTTGGAACACTACTAGTTATAAACCTATTAAAAAATTTCTTAAAAATATTTTTGTAAAGTTTTTAAAATATTATTTCCTTATTATAAAAAAAAATACACTTTTTGCAAGTTTCTGTAAAGTAATGAAATTATATTATATTTTTAGTATTATTTAGTTTGACATATGGCCCCACAACAAAAGGAGGCAGTGGGCCAAGAAATTTTTTTATTTTAATTGATTCCTTGAAGAATTAGATTAATGGGAATACAATTTTTATAAAATTACAAAATCAAAGGTTTATCACACTGCCCACTTTTGCTGTGGGGTCCTCATATATATATATATATATATATATGCCTTTGATTTAATAAATGACTAGGTTATTAGATTAGAATTTGGAACTGGATTTATTTTTCTTATGTTATAACCAATTAAACCAATTTTTAATTTAAGAAAAAAACTCAGTGCCAAACTCTATGTTTAAGTAGTTTAAAACAGAACTACATTGATTAAGTTCGGCACTCGGTCATTATCATTTGAGCCAAAAATGCATGAACGAGTTGGACGTTATAAACTGCCGGATTCGTACGTATTGAATTTTAAATTTCTGTGAGAACCGCCTTATTAAATTTTTATATCAAGCTTACTCAACCTAATGTTCTCACAAATCATTAAGCTTTTTTAGGGTCCGTTAAAACCAGGTGCGTTTAATATATTGATTTATATACTGCATAAATTATATTCTTGATATCTATATAATCTGCTAACCTTAATTATATCAAAAAAATAACTCTAACTTCATCAAAAAAAGTAGTTTTAACGCACCTAGCTTTAACGTTCCCCCTTTTTTAAAAGGTCTTAATTTGTGATAATGTTTTTATTTTCACATGAAAACATTTTTGCTACAATAAATATGGTCAATATAAGTCCATAATATAATAGCACATTAACTACTCCTTATTACAAACAGCACAAACCTTTTTTTAAAAAAAGTCTAATGATTTAACTTATTCAAGAAATTATAGTATTTAAATACATAGCGATATGCTTGAATGCAGTTTACCAGTAAAATGTCCATAAATAATATTATGATAACGGCCAAGCAAATCAACGTATGAATTATAACATGATTCGTTATATTGTTTAAAACCTATAAAATTAAGAAGGTAATTTAAAGGTTCATTCATACAGTTTTAAACAAATAAATTATATTATCACCTGTAACATTAACAGGAGGGACATGCTGTAAAATATAAACTTTTCTATTATCATGTTTTGCATTTTCCAATTCATTTTCAAACCACTTCAATTGTATTTCACCAGGTGAATTTGGAACTGAACAATCTGGTGATTGCAAATTTTGAGGATAAAAATACATTGAATTCAAACTTATGACCGAAAGATATGAATTAATATCGTGGCGAAAATAGCCACCAATTAAAAAGTCATCTGTTAAATTTAATTTTAAAGGAGCCCACGCATTTTTCACTGCCGGGAATAGGTCATTTGGACCTGGTGGAAGTTGGTCATTAACTAAATAAATGTTAATAAATCTTAGTTAATAATATAAATTGATAAAGTTAGCATGTAAATCTAAATTATACGTAGAAACTTATACCGAATTCGTCAGCATTTCCAAATGTAGGAAACTTTATGAGTGAATAAGTGTATATTATTTTAAATATATGTTCATAAATATGTATATAATATTGATCATGAGCTGATAAATATCGTAAAATTTGTCCAGTCGTGTAAATGATTGGCTGGCAGCAGCATATGTCAGCCAATTTATCAACGCATGACTCAATATTTATGTTATCCGGCAATTCATGATCATATAATTCTCAAGTCGTGATTGGCTAACTGTGTTTAGTGTTGTAAGCCGGTTTGCCGACTAAGCCAGCCGAAATAATATGGTCGGCTGGCTAATGCGGCTAAGGGTCGCATGATTCATGAATAGTAGAATTATGAAAAGGAAAAAGAATAAATATAAAATACTTTGAGAAAATTTCCGAAGTATTCCGAAAAATAGACTATTAGTCAGGTATTAGCCAGCCGCTTAGCCGATGTTTTAGTCGGCTGGCTTAGCCAGCCGTCTAAAGTCATGTGGTTTACAACACTAACTGTGTTTTAATTCGAATAAACATGATTACGTTGTAACACATGAAAAAAATAACAAAATGAATTTTTTCATGTTCATAAGAGTTTGCCGGATAAATATATATATAATAGATAGAATAGAATAGAATAAATAAACAACGTACAAACTTAATCTTATCAGCATCAAAAATATCCGTAAAATATTTAACGATAATTTCATGTCCGAAAATAACTTGATCATTAGTTCTAGGGATTGATTTATCTCGATCATGCCTAACGAAATCTCCAGTAAAAATAATAAAATCAATATTTTTAAAATTATTTTGTAAATAAGACATTGTTTCATTGGTTAAAGAATATGGAGTATCACATGATGATAATAAAGTTCCATATTCTCCAGCAGTGTTTGCTTCAGGATTAGTGTCGTTTGGTCGGTGACATATTTGTATAGGATCGCTTTTACTTATGTAAAACGGGTCAAGGTGAAAATCTGCATTTTGGAAAGATGTGAAATTAAAAATATTCAGGATTAGTTCGTGATTAATAACTTCTAAACAGTTTTAAATGACACTTGCCAGTGATATGCAAAAATTTTCCGAAATTGTCATTCGTTGCAGCTTCACACTTTAAATCTCCTTCAATTATAATAATTATCAATAAAACAGTAAAAACTAAAATGAACATTATATTTCAAAGGTAAGTGCAATCGTTTACACACTAACTAGACTTATATAATGATGAAGTGAAAACCAGAAAGTCCAAATATAGACTGTCAAAATTTTTAAAAATCTATATTTGGACTTCCTAGTTTCACTTGACGACATCCAATCATTTTATCGTCATGGCTTAAAAACTCAGCCACAAAATGTGAATTTTTGAATTCAAAGATTTAGATGAGCATTTAGTTGTTAGACGAAACCATTTTTGCTTGATGACGAAAGCCGAAACCTGAGCCCTAAATGACGAAACCTCTGCCGAAAGTCGAAACCTCAAATTCTT